TGTGTATCTTTTTCTTTATCTTTAGGTATGTTTCCGAGATGAGGGCTGCATGTATATCATGTTTTGTCAGTAACATTATAAATTCAAATAAGTTTTTGGTAATACTATTAGCATTCCAATATAGTATGTTGAGGTTTATTGTCTGATTCATTTTTTACGTCATGAAAAAATTTAGAATTGAGAGTTTCTTTTCTTGAGGTGTGGCATTAATAGACTCTTTGGCGAGTTTTAATAATTTAGAAAAAGTTTCCTTAACAATAGGGTCGCTGAAATATTCACTAATAGTAATAATACTTCCCATCATGTCCAACATATCTGAGTGATCCGTCTCTGCTCCCGTGTTTGCTGACCTTGCTTCTGTGCTGCCTTGTGCTGTACTATCAGACGTTCTCTCGCGAAGGGGAGGAAATTCTTTTTTATTCTGTGTGGCATCTGCGAAGCTCTTCGTCAATTTTCTAGGCTGCGGAGCTGGTACCCATTTCTGCTCCGTTCTGGCGCTGAAGGACCTTTCATTTCGTGTCTTAATGTAGTTTTGCCTCATTATACATTTTCTGAAGCTAGCCGCATGAGCCTCACCACAGTTAACGCATCTTGGTGTTTCTTCGATTGACTTCTTACATTTGCCAGCTTCATGTACTTCTGTGCACTTGACACATCTAAAATTCATTCTACAGAAAGCTGAGGAGTGTCCAAAATTTTGACATCTGTAGCACTGTAGTGCTTGATCTTCGTTATTTTTGAAGAATCGGCTCCATTTAACCGCATATCCATTCATATATTTTATATTGTATATATCTTTGATTGACTGATCTCCTTCAAAAATTACTACAAATACTGGTAGTTTATATTTTGTGTTATCAGTTTTCTTAACCATTTGTATGACTTTTTTGACAAAGTTAAAGTTTTTTAACAAATAATCATATATTTCTTCTTCCGTCACGTATGGAGGGACGCCGGACAATACCAGTTTTATCGATCTTTTCGCTTTTGGTGAAAATGTGTGATACTGCAGCTGTGCTGTATCTAACATTTTTAATACTGCAGCAAAATCTTTTTCGTTGTATGTTGCTACTCTATAGTGTGTATTACCTCTATATGTGATGTGTAGATCTGATGATACCTCTTTCCTCATATCTTCAAAATATTTTATGTACGGCACGCTATCCCTAATCACTATAGGCGGCATATTTATTTTTGGTTCTTCTGTCTTTGATACTTTAACTTGTGCTTTGTTGACGTCAGTAAGTTTATGTTTCCTCTTTCTTGAGGTTGTTTCACTTAAATATTCCATTTCTGAATCACTTAAGTCAGATAAGGCTTCATACTTGTTTTTGTGTGCAAACCTGGATGTACTCGCTACCGAAGTAGTCGGCATTTGTTTGCCCATAGGGGTGTCATCATGACGTTTATTTAAAATTTCTTGATTAGATAGCCTCTCTCTTGGAGATATATCCGATTTCAATAACTTTTTACCCATTTTGGTATCATTCATAATGCACTGCACTTAAGCACAATCTAAACGTCATATTAATATTATTAATACACTTAAACACTATTTTGAGGTTATGTGTAAATCACTTCACTTTATTTTTATACACGTTCTGATTCACAATGTATGCGCAATGTTTACAAAGTAAAAAAAAAACTCAGCTTATGGACTGAATAGCTAATCATTAGTGCGAACTGATACGGATTCAAAATCTGAGAACCTTCTCGTTTGACGATCGGAGTCAGAATGAATGAATGAATGGAATGATCATCGTTTGTCGTGTTGTTTCAAACGTTTAAGAAGTTTTAGTCCTGTTTCGCCAATATATCATATATAAATAGCAATCTCTAATCTCTCTAATAATAATAATCTCTAATCTCGACAACAGAATTATATCTGGAATTCCTGCTATTTGCTCTACCAATATTCGTAAATTTGAATGTAGAAATGCAGGCAGTAAAACCAAAGTTGCACGTTTTATATGATCAGATGATATTCACAGCAAATATGGGACAATTTTGGAATGTTTCATTCAACCGATATATATGTAGCGGGTTGCCAACACGCATCGCGGCTTGTCAACACGCATCACATGTCTCTGGACAGATTGGCCCATATAGTGACAGCACTGAGAAAAACAAAAGGAAATTCAAGTGTCAGATCGGACACGGTTTTTGTTTCTCCCTAGTCGAATTTGCCTAAAATGTATCATTCTTGAAACCTTTCTTTTCAATTATAAATACGAAAATACCAATAACATTTTATTAACGATTAGTATGACAACACATAGTGTCGTGGATATTAATCATATATAAAATAAACGAAATATAAATAATATTTTATGAAATTTATTATTGTCTATCATTTTGGTATTTAATATGGACCACACCTCCATATTTTGGTGACCCCGAGAGTGAACAAGTAACACACATTTCGTAAGAAGGTAAGAAGATCAAGTCATTTTTAGAAGTAACAGAATAAATTGAAGTCTCAAGAATTATTAAGAAAAGAATTTTTAAAAATATAAATAATTATTATAAATGGCTCACAACTGCCATAACTCGCATTCTAAGCATACAATTGAGACTCCGACCACGAGAGAGCACTTCCAGATAAACAACAACACGTGCTCAATAAATCACTTATTATCATGGTAAATAAGTCGATAATAAGCACCATGGCAGCAGACAGGGAGCAAACAATTTGGCAACCGCCACATACACTCAACCGCTAACTCACCAGCGAAGGGCCACATACAATCAACCGCTAACTCACCAACGAAGGGCCACATACACTCAACCGCTAACTCACCAGCGAAGGGCCACATACACTCAACCGCTAACTCACCAGCGAAGTGTCAAATATACTCAGCCGCTAACTCACCAGCGAAGGGCCACATCTACTCAACCGCTAACTCACCAGCGAAGGGCCACGTAAGCAATCAACAAACTCAACAAGCCAACACGGCAATTTATCACACAATCTCAACCAAAAGAAATTTACAAGGAAGTTCAAGAATGGCAGTCAGAGATGCGAAACAATCTTTTTCATTAGGGCGGAGTGATGTAGCGGGTTGCCAACACGCATCGCGGCTTGTCAACACGCATCACATGTCTCTGGACAGATTGGCCCATATAGTGACAGCACTGAGAAAAACAAAAGGAAATTCAAGTGTCAGATCGGACACGGTTTTTGTTTCTCCCTAGTCGAATTTGCCTAAAATGTATCATTCTTGAAACCTTTCTTTTCAATTATAAATACGAAAATACCAATAACATTTTATTAACGATTAGTATGACAACACATAGTGTCGTGGATATTAATCATATATAAAATAAACGAAATATAAATAATATTTTATGAAATTTATTATTGTCTATCATTTTGGTATTTAATATGGACCACACCTCCATATATATGGAACTTTCAAACGAAGAGTTGAATACGATAGAAATTATTTCGAATGCCAAACAGCAAAAGGTATTAAGCGTAGATGTAAACGATTTGCAAATGTATAAACCTTCATTAGAAATATATGCTAGAGGAATGATTCCAAATATAATTCGGTTGAAAAGAGAAACTGGCCGATTAGATGAGGATGAGTTTAATATTGAGGCAGCAAACCAAATAAAGCAGAGGTTTCTATTTCATTATAAAAAACGACAAGAACTATAATATTTGCAGTAATTTTGAGTACTGATTTGAGAAAAAAATTCACATCAATTTCTGAACTGTTATATTATTTTCCAAACATTTGCCCAGATAATATAACAGAACTAGATAGAAAACGGAAAACTCTTAGAAATACCAATGTCGATTCGAAGAGACTGAGACGACGCCCAGTACAGAAGAATTTTAAAGGCACGTATCAAAATTAGAAAAGGCGATGGTTTCTGCGATGTTTCCATAATTATCGATTTTAATAAGAAAACTCCTGTGTTTGGCGCACAGTACTGCGACGGTGACTTATAAATATTTGACAATGTTACAGTATTTATTAAAATCAATTTGAAAACATTTAATATTTCGTTACGGTACGAGAAGTTCCGGCAATTTTCCTTAAGGCACAATGCCATACACCACTAGTTAAAGTATTTAATTATCAAAAGAACAATTAAAATGGTGTTTTAAAACATTAAAATAAATATTATGCAAATATAATATACCTATTAATTTTTTTAATAAAACGTGTTGACACTTTATCGCGACTTCAGTCAGTTCTTGAGCTGTTTAAAAACTCAAATTACCAACATAATAGTTTATGACAAATCAAACGCAAGTCATAATACTTTAGTATTTAATATTTCAATATAATAATATGATGATTTAATTATTATGAATTACATTCATTCTTTAATAATTATGTAAATATTAATTTTTTTTTCTTTTCAGAAAATCTGTTGACAGTTCATGAACCAAAAGTTTAATTATTTATTTAAATTATTGAAATTTCTAGTTTGAAAAATATTGACTGGAAGATATAAATATTTACAAGATGTCCAAAATGTTTAATTCATACTGATATACATACTATATAATTTTACATTCAAATTACCACATTGATATATTAATTTGTATGTATTGTTGATATGTATTTGAGTGTCTGTTGTTTTCCAATTAGAAATATTTGTCAACAACAAAGACAATACTATTACATTTTACGCATTACATGATGTGTTGCCTGTTGAATAATAAAAAGTAGTTAAATGTATTTTATTGCATGAGTAAATAGTAAATAATTACCCTCCAAATTTTTCTTAATATTTGCAATTGTAAATACAAATTGTTAATAACGGTTTTAAATATCGTGGAGTGACTACGAGATCGATTTTCTTCAGATTCACTTTTTATTTTTATAATATCCATGCTGCATCTCATGTCTCCATTTCCATCATATGACTTCACAAATTTAGCAATATATGTTAAACCAATAAATAATTTGTGGAAGATTGGAAATAACTTGTCCCAGAGTTCAGGTGTTCTTGTATTCAAGAAATAATTATCAATGGACATGTTTGAAGGTTTTGATGAATTTGAAATTGAGGAAGTGCGCCTTCATTCAGCATTAAGGCATGGTGATAGCATTTTATGTGTGGGTTTAAATATTTAATAAAGTAGACAAATATATATATATATATATATATATATATCATAGTGTCAATTTCTGCTATAGCAGTAATCCGAGAACTTTCTTTTAAATTATAATTTAAAAAAAACACTGGTCTGGTATAGGTAAACTCATTTTCTTTGCTATAGAAAAAAGCAGATCCTCCATTCATACTGTTTCTCCTTGGGCCAGTTAAGAATTCTATAAAAACTAATCAATCCTGGTCGTGCTACTTCAAAAAGCTTTTAAATTTTTGAAATCGGTTTAGCATTTATTGACAACACATCGACAAAAGCTCAAAAAATGGCTCACAAACATACTTATTCCAAAACTTGTTCTCAAACGATTCAGATTGACTTGTCAGGTATAATAGATAATAGACAAGGTTGCTTTAAATGTTCAATGCAAAGTGAGCTAATGTTTGAATAATGATTGTTTTAGAATGCTATAGATTAGGAATGTTGAGTTTTGTTTTAGATTTTTTTTAGAATGTAAAATGTTTTTCAAATGTTATGGATTATTCCATAATTTGTAGAATATTTATTAGAACATTGTAGACTGTTTGAAAGTGTTGCATAGTCTTTGAAGGTCTTGCAGACTGCCCGTAAGCATTGCAATCTCATTTTCACATTACGAAGTTTTTCTTCTTTTGCAGAGTATCACTTCTATTATTTTTATTGTTTTTTTTGTAGGAAGATGAAGGATTTCCTTCGCTCCTCTCAAAAAATAAAAAACATAGAAGCTTTAAAATTGAGTTTTGTCAGTTCTTCAAAAATGTCATAAATAGGGGTGGAAAAGAAATAATTTATGATGATTTTTTATAAAAAATCTGACCTCAATCTTGAAACATTTGTCAAGATTGGGTCAGAAAAATATACGATACACGACAACATTGGCAGGTAAATTGTATTCGTGAGAATGATTTTTATACGTAGACTCTTCTATGGATTTTTAGATATTTTTAGATATCTATATATTTTACACATTTCTAGACAATTTCAAAAATATGTAGCCATTTGTAGATATTTTTTAAAATTTTTGTACATTTTTAACCCTTGCCAGTAGGTGACATATACATTTATTTATGTATATCTAGACATTTTTGTACATATTAAAATTTTTTAAGTTACATTTAAACATCACTAGGCATTAAAAATTAATACATTGGCAAAAGAGTTGAAAAAATATTTTAAAATTACCATTTTATTTACTGATTTTTTATATATTTATTCAGGCTTGTCCATAACTACAGAGTTGGCAGGGTTACTTCAACAAGCGGCTTCAGAAACGAATCGGTACTCGAAGCTAATTCAGGCCGAAGAAGCGAAGGAGACGAGGCGTGATATGAGTCGCTTAAAATCCCTTCTCTCAGAAAGGAATAAATTAAATGAAAAGTATAGGGAACTAGAATTGTGTATCAAGTCCCTATATAGGAATATAATTTATAAACGCATGAAGTAAGATATTTTGACATTTATGGGCCAATTCTCGGATAACACAGCTAAGTTTTGTTTGTAGACTCCTGCTTAACATATCATGTCTTAAATAAGCATATGTTCAGGATTATGTATTCTTGGACCACGTCGTGTAGGAGGCACTCTTTTCGATTGAATTGAATGGGTCCTATTCAGTTTCCTTTTCTTTTCATGATCGTTCTCAGTGAAGTCTTTTATGGACTTATTCTTTTGTTATCTTGTCAGTCCACTTTATTTTCTCCATTCACCTGTCTCCTGCGCACCACATTTTAAAACTCTCCAAATAGTTCTTTTTCTTAGAGTCCATGTCCCTGATCCGTAAAGAGCTATGCTCTAGACATAACATTTTTTTTATCAATATCATCCACAAGTCGAGACTTGGTTGGTTCTCAGTAGTGTTCTCAACTTCGCAAACTCCACCTTGGCGCTTGCGATCTTTGTCCTGATCTTTCTCGTGCTGTATTCGTTTCTGGTCAGAATGCTTCCTAAATATTTGAAATGATCGTCTCCCAATTTTTATTTTCTACTATTATCTTCAGAGTATCATCTCGTTTTGATACTCTCATCACTTCCAATTTGTTGATGCTGATTTCCGTTCCATATCTTCTACCCATTTCGACGATTCTGTCCATCATGTTTGCAGCTCGGTTGGTTTTTTGATATTATCACTAGATCAATCATTTTGCCATATAAAATAAAATGTCACCAGGAATAGCTGTTACACCTACCATAATTCCTTGAACCGCATAAGTTAAAAATATTTTTTAAACATCAGTTTATTTACAGAGATACCGCACCTGTCACAAGAAGTGTGAGCATACGTGAATTGGGCGCCGCTTGTTGAGAAAACACCCGGGACTATTCCTAAATGAGTGGACTTTGCGACTTTTTGCATTTTTCGTCTATGACAAGGTATATATATATATATATATATATATATATAATAAATAAATGGTAGCCTTTCATCCATGCTTCCTGATCCTGCACTTCGGTTTTCAGTACCCTGTATTTTCTCTTTACCAATCCTTTCAGCACTTCTATTTTACCATCCACGACGTCGTGCAGGAGGCACTCTTTAGAACAGAACGGGTCCAATCCAGTTTCCTTCTTTCTTCAGGATTCTTGAAAAGGCCGATCTTGAAATGTCAAGAGAACATAAAAATCTCCTCAGGCAGTTACTAATAATGATTTTTTTCATATCTTCACAGGCTGCATCAGTACGGGCAAGCGCTTTGAAAGCCTTGCTCCCGTTATATGAGGACGATAAATTAGCAAGCAAATTAACATTGTTCACTCAAAAATATCAACTAAGACTTGTTAGATTATCTTGGGACAAGAGCCGATGCAATCAAGAGATTGCAACAAAGCTTGTCACGGCTATGTTCAGGTGAGAGTTGAGAATAAAATGTTCACTTAATAGACATATGCATGAAACTTTTGATGGTGATAACCCAGTAAACACCCAACGGTAGTAGCAATCTTATATTACAGCTGTTCAAAAAATAATAGTATATTGCCAGCGATAAAGTAAAAAAATACAAGCAATGAATGAATGTATGTTAATTCTAATTGAAGAGTGAAGTTGCGCAAACAATATTTGTTTAGGCGTTGTTTGACATAATCCACTGTCTCAACAAATATTATAGAAGTTATTAATCAGCAATTCATTAATCTTCATTTCTCTAATGAAGGTTCATTTCTAAATGATAATTACAATGACAAAGCGATCATGTCATATTTGAAGTATGACTTTAATTACATTATTGTTTTTAAATATTATAAATATTTTAATGCTATTATAAATATATAATTTATAATTATTTATTATATAAATGTGTATATATAATGGTTAACGCTATGGGTTGAAGCCCCTTTCTGGGGTATTGCAATGACTGCCGCTTATTATATTTTAGCATTTCCCCATTACGAAAGGTGTACTTCAACTTCTTAACCCGACTTCTACGAATGCCCTGTAATTACCTGTTAAGACTGATATAGCTAATTATCCATTTTTGTCCATTCAGGTCCTATCCATACTTATTCACTAGGAAAGACTTGAACACGGTTTCAAGTTTGATGTTCTCTCCAAATCGAAAGGTTGCAGTGGCAGCAGGCACATTTTTTCATCATGTCTTTTTAAGATTGGATAAAGATTCAAATGGGGCCGGGTTTGGGGTTCGATGGTTCAGATATGTTTCAACTTCCATCATTGAATTGAAAGTAAGTAAAATATGTATATATGATAGTCATGTGGATGTCGTATAAATAATTTTTTGAATCTTTATTCTTTATTTTGATTATTTTTCAGGGTTTAAATTTTATTTCATATCTAGTGGATGCCCTAGTTGCAAACATTGAGATAATGAAAGATTGGAATTCGATGATACATATTTTAACTCAAGAAAATGATGATCCTTTGACCCCAATCCCCCAACCTCAAGAAATTTTAATTGAAATTATGTTCTGGTGTGCAAGTCTTTCAAGTACTGGTGAATATCCAGGGGAGAGAGCAACTGATAATATGGTAATATTGCATTGCAATGATGCATATATAAAACTGAGGTAACTTGACCTATTTTAATGTACTGGCGGGGGGTACTTACGGAAGCGACAAGAATAAGCATTTTCCAGAAATGATCTCAAGTTACAATATTCGCAACGAATCCGAATATGGTCGATAATTACAAGTACAGGACTCTACTTAATTGATATGCAGAGGCTCTCTGGTCAATTAAATAAACAAAACGCTCTTGGTCTCCAGACAATTTGATTTTTTTTTCATTTTTGGACTGTGTATGAACTCATGACCAATGGAATAGTTTTGTGGGAATCAGTTTGTTGCTTTTAGTACTACACATATCTGTTTCCTTGATTTGATATTATAGCATGATAGTCGTCAAACGTTTAAGGCAATAATTTATAAGTCCAATTAGAAGTACAACATTAACTAAATCTAAACCGATCAAGTAAAAGTACCCTGCCCTGGTTTTAATGTCAGTACATGCAAATGGGTAAAACTATCCAGTTGTTTCTTCTTTTAGTGTGTTGATTATATGTTTAAACATTATTTTTTATTTCAAAATTTCATTAGTTTTCATATTTACAGGTCCCAAGTTTAAAACAAAGAAAACAAATGAAGGAAGTAAAATTAAATATCACAAAACATCTAATGCCTGTGATAGCAATTCTGTTGGCTCGCTTCAAAACCAATGTAAATTGTATTATTCATTTGATCAGAATACCTCAATATTTTGACTTCGAAAATACAAGCGAGATGGAAGATCTGGTTAGTATTTTAATTTTTGTACCTATGAATACCTATAAGGATTACTTAGCAAACGTGGTCTTTGTCTTTGTGCTTGAATTGCCACCAGCAGGAGTATATATTTTAACCAGAAATTTTAATTGCATATGGGAATGTTCATGCATCTTGCATTTGTAGTTTTTCTAACTTTTTAATATATACTTACTAGTTTTAATCTAGTGTTTTATGTTTACAGCATTTAAGGAATTTATTGGGCGCTCTGCAAGTCATCGCCCAGGATTCTGCAGACACAATAGTGTTGGACAACTGCAGCAAGACTTTGCATTGCCTTTATAGAAGGGCAAGAAGCATTGTTGCAGATTGCGATGCCGCCATATCGACCATTGTCGACGAATGCGCATTTGTATATATGGAGCCATATCTTGTATGACTAAGTATTGTGAATGGGGTACGAATTACATTTTTGTTATGTGTAGAAAGTTGTCAAACAATTCATCTCTTGATCAGAAATAATTTTTCTTTCTAGCAAATGGATCCAAAATATGCTAAGAAAGAGGATTGAAGAAGAAAATATACATTTTCCACTATTTACATAACATAAATTATTTAGATATATGGGATGATTTTTTAGAAGAATTTAAAGTGTTTAGGAATGGTGTCATTGAAAGAAATCTTCCTATCGAGGTATGTTAATTAGATCAAAGATTAAACATAACTAATTTAACTAATTCATACTCCTATCAAAATATATTTTAGGGATCGATATACTGCCTACTTTCCTACGGCACATATTTATCTTGAGAATTGATGGAAGTAAAAGATATGATCTAAATAATATGGTACTCAATGCTATGGCTTGTATGAAACGAGCCGATATATAGAGTTAGAGTTAAAATTGAAAAATTATATTGAAATCTGCAAGGACATCGTAAAAAATGTCACTCAT